CTCTTTATAGTCACCATTTTTTGTATCTCAAAGGTGTGACTATAGAGAAGCTTAACTATATAATTTCCAAAGATAAATAGTATATATAATAGTGAAAATTTTCTTTTTATATATAGGATAGTTTTGCTCAGCAGATAATAATTTATATAACTTATAAATAATAGGTTAATTATTTTTTTTATAATTTTGACTAAGAATAATTTTTATAACAAACTCAGATATATCAGTTATTATTATAAAGGGTAATTTAGAATTTGACAAAATTAAGATAGATATGATAATTAAATATTATTTTAAATTATTGAATATTTTTTGTTTAGTTTTATTCTAAATATACTCATTATCTTTATAAAATAATACTGTAAGTGATAAGATAATTTCAGAAAATCCTTTGACAAATTTTTTATAATAACTAGCAAGATTTAAGAATAATCAAAGCTTAGAAATATTAGTTGATTGAGACCAGTTACAAATAATAATAATTTTGTATTAATTTACTAAGATTTCTTAATCCAAGATAAAATGATCTAAGTATTCAATATATTACTTTATGAATTCATATTTCTTTAATTTAACATATAATTTGTATTCATAAAATTTAGAAAGAATAATATGAAGATAATTAAGATATTCTTCTTTAGTATTACTAAATATAAGAATATTATTCAGATAAATAATAATAAATTTATTCAAATAGTTATAGAAAATATTATTTATAAGAATTATAAAAGTTGTGAATATATTAATAAGATCAAATGATAGTATAAAAAATTTATAATGACTATATCTTATTCTAAATATAATTTTATAAATATTTTCTTTCTTGATCCTAATTTGATAATATTTAGAATAAAGTTCTAATTTAAAAAAGTATTGTATTCTAGCTAAGTAATTTATTAATTTATCAATATGAGATAAAAAATAATGATTTTTAATTATAATTTTATTTAAAGCATGATAATCTATATAAAGTTGAAGAGTTTTTTTCTTTTTATACATAAATAAAACAGATACTCCAAATAGCAAAAGACTTGGATGAATAAAATCTTTGCTAAGTAATTCAGATAGTTATTTCTTTAATTTATCTATTTTAATATAAGACAAGTGATAAGTAGGACAAGATAGTGATTCAAAGTCAGGTATTAAATTAATAGTATAATTTATAATATATTTTGATAGTAACTCATTAGAAAGTGAATTAGAAAATATATTAGTAAATTCTTTAATTAGTTAGATAGCTTTATGAAAAGTTAATATTTTTTAATATATTTCTTTTATAGTAGTATAAATTATAAATAACTTAATATTAGGTGGAATTTTAGTAAATTATTAGTAAAAAATATAAAGTAAGTTATAACTAAATACAAGTTTATCTTTATAAGTATTAATCTTGATTACTTTGTTGTTATAGTTAAATATTATAAAAATATTATGTCAGTTAATAATGAGATTAATATAATAAAGTTATAGTTTATCAAGTATAAGATTATAATATTAAATATTAAGAACTTGTATACTAATATCAAATATATAATAAGTATTTAACTTTAATTTCTTGATTATTACAGATAAGTTAACTTTCTTTTTATAACTATTAATAAGTTCTATAGTAATTAGATTTATATTATATATTTGTAGTTAATTATTTTGAACATATACTTTATTAATAAAATTATGTGATGCTTTACTATTAAGCAAAATTCAAGCAGATTTTCTACTTATATAATCATTAAATTTCAGAAGTTTCTCATAATTATCCTTAAGATAAGTAAATTTAATATTATTATTTTGTATAATAATTATATTATTACTATTATCTTTAATATTATTAACTTTAGCTTTTTTTTAAATAACAATTCTTGACAAAATAATTTGATTTGTTATAGTTATAATAATTATAATTATTATTATTTCTATTATGATTATTATTATTATTACTATTACTATTATTAAATTAATAAGAATCTTTAACATAATCTAGCTTTATAGATATAAGTCTAGTATTATTATGCATATTATTATAAGAAGAATTCTAATTTCTTTTGTATTTTTGATTATAATTATTATCAATTTTAAGAGAATGATCAATATTAAATATAGCTATTTTATAATAAATTATAAGTTTTTAGGTAGTATCAAAAGTTTCTGGTGCTTGATATTCTACTTCTATTTTAGTTACAGGTTTGAGATTATTAATGAAATATATGACTTGGTCTAATTCTCCTATATCTTCAATTTATTTTATAATATTTTTGAATTTAGCATCATATTCTTGTATAGTATTAGTTAACAAAGTTGATAATAAAGATATTATTAATAATTAGATAATTAGAATATATTACAAACTTCAAAAATAAAGTTATTTTAATTAGTAAAAATATTTTGTTCTTTAGCAGTATATACTTTATTTAAATATCAGTGTAGAACAGTATTCTTAAATCCAGTTTTAGTATATAAAATTCTAGTTTATTTATTAATAATTTCTTGAATGACAAGTATTTCAGAAACTTATAATATCTAGATATTGATATTTTCATATAATTCTTCTTTGTATATAGAAATCTTGAATAAAATTCTTGATGGAAAAGGATTATTATTATTATTTTATTAATCATTACCATTATTATTATTATCATTATTATTACTAAAAGTAGTTGTAAGTTATTATTATTATTAGACAAGACTAGTGAGACTGATAAGAAATTATTAGAATTATTCATTAAAAAGATCAGGATCAGATATTATGAATATATATATATGTATATATGAATATATAATATTTAAATAAGAATAAAAAAATATGTAGAGAGAAAGAAGAAGTTAATAATAAGTAAGTATATATATATAATATTAATCTTTTTTACTGTTATTAAAGTTATAATCTTTCTAGTTATATTGTATAATATATCAGAAAAATTCATATAAAAGATTCAAGATATATAATAATGTAATTTAAAATAGAATTCATACAGAAAACTAATTCAAGACAGATAAGATTATTATATTTAAAACTTATTTTTTATTAATATTATTATTGTTATTAAAAATACAGAACAGAAATAATATCTTTAAATAATAATTTAATATTACATAAATTAATAATATAATAAATAAAATTAATAATAGATAATATTTATATGATAATACTTCTAGAAGATGCTTATAAATAAATAAATAAAGAAATAAATAATTATAAATAAAATATATAAATATAATAATATACTAGCTAAATTATAGAACAAGAAAAAAGAGAAATTTCACTAAAAAAACTATTTATAACTAAAATAACTCAAATATATTATGTGATTTTCTTGACAAGATAAAATAATTTTTATGATATAATATCATATATAATATAAAATATAATATAGTAATAATCTGTGAGAGAAAAATATAATTTGTTATATTTATACTAAAGTTTATAAAACTCTTTAAAATTATTATTAAAATATCTTTTATTATCTATAAATTATAATTATTAATAAATATAAAATTATACTCAGTATTTTATATATTATTATTAAAAAAGTATAATTCAGATAATAAATATAATAGATATTAATTATTATCATTTCTAATAATAAAGAAAAATATGAAATAAAAAATATTCTTGACAAAAGAATTTATTATTACAAACTCTAATATCTTGTTAAATAACTTAGCTATTCTTTCTATAATATAATATAAGAATTTCTTGAAAACTTAAAAAATATTATGAAAAAATTAATATCTTTGAAAAATCATATATTTAAATATAATAAGAATATTATATTTTAAATAAATAGATATATAATAATTTTGATTGGATTATCTTTTTTAGCTTAGATCTTTATTTTATATTATCTATCTAATATATTAGTTTCTATATTATTTTTCTTAAAGATTAATTTTATTCTAAAAATATAAATAATTATTTATATATTTAATATATTAGATTTAATATATTATTATATAAATAATTATTATATATATTTATATTAATTAATATTTTTAATTATATTTATTAATTATTATTTCTTTATATTTTTACTTATTCTTATTTATTATTATTATTTATTATATTATTAATTATTAGATTATAATTAGTTATTTTCTGAAGATGTGAATTAAGTTAATTAATTTTATTTAATTTATATATATTTTAATTATAAATTATTATTAATTTATTTGTATTTTATATTTATTTTATTTTTTATAAATAAAATCTCTCTATTTTGTTAATTAATTTTACTTTTAAATAATAAAAATAATTATAAGTTATAAAATTAAAACTATTTATATCATATTTTATTTTATTTATAATTATTAACAAAATAATCTTATATTAAAGAAGATAATTTAATTAAAATTATTATAAGTCAAAATTTTAAAAAAAATATTTTATAAAGAGTTATAAATATTTAAAATAAAAAGTTTTTTTATATTTTTTTTGAAATAAATTATATGAATTATTACATAAATCTAATTTATTAACTAGTATTTTTTGTAATTTTATAATTTAGATCTAAATTATAAATTAATTAAAATTTATAATATATAATTAATAAACTAAAATAAAAAAATAATAAATTATAATTATAAAATTTATATTTTTTTATTTATTATTTTTTTAAAGTTATCTTTTTAATTATATATATATTCTTATTTTCTCTTTATTTTAGTTAAGAAATGACTTAAGTATTAAAAGAAATTCAAGAAAAAAATAAATTAGATAATTAAAATAATATGATTAAAGATAGAAAAAATAAATGGAAATGAGAATAATTTAGAAATAAATAAAACAGTAATACGTGAGCGATTTTATTGGTTAAAAATAAAGGTCACGTGAAATTTCGCTTCGAAAATAAAGACACGTGATTGACAAAGCAATAGACTTCCGGAATCATATAACTTTTTATTTCACATTCATGTAGATCAACTTACTCATTCGACTAAAAGTCGACTTGAGTCGACTATGACTCATAGTCGGTAAAAGTCGAGTTGAGTTTCTAGAAAATCTCCTAGACTGCGTTATTTTTGCGGGCCACTGTAAATCGGACATGTAATCATTGTTAATCTTCTGGAAAATTTAACGAACACGGTTAAGTCAAGTTACGTGGTTTTATATCCCAAGTTCGCAGAAAACGAGTGGAAAAAAAGGACTTTCTTTTATACCTGGACAAAAATCTGTTCGTAAAGAAACAGCATTAAGACCTACAAAAGAGTGCATAATCAGATTAATACCTGACTATCATTTCCCGTTGCAAGAGGTTGTTAAACAATCACATTTTTAGAAGAATGAGCATGAACGCTGCAAACCGAATAGGAGCCTAGGCTTCAAGACATCTCTTTCATTGCGAACTTGAGAGACAATCGGCCCACTTATAATGAGTGGCCATTCTTTTAGCATACAACTGCTCTCTTTTGCAGACAACTCATTGCCAATTTCAGATTCGATTGTTATATTAAGAAAAAAAGTTTCGAATGAACGTGAACTCAGCATAACTTCACGTTTTTTTTAACCATCTATTATATTAACTTACTTTTTTATTTCCAATCAAATAGATCTTCTGACATTTACTTATTCTTCACTAACGGAGGCTATAAAGTAATTGTCGTTTCGCCGAATCAGAATTTCCAATGATAAATATTTCAAAGGACGTGGAAACTTAATAATGGCTCAGGACTCTTTGTCTCAGATTAGTTGAATGTGACGTGGTATGAAGGTATTGAGATGTATTCAAATCTTAAAGAGGTTGAGTGACAGCTCGGAATGAGAAAATGCGAGAGATTTTTGGAAGTAGATGCTTGAGATGAAGATGATGTCTGGTTCACGTGCCGACGATCATATAGGGTGCACAAATTTGATCGGTTTACCGAGCCAAATTTCAACCCAGTAACCTGAAAAGCTGCCAATTAATTCGGATGAGGGGTATCCAGGTCTAAATCACGTATTATTTTTGAGGTAATCTTGTTCTCTGACCCTAACCCTTACCTTTATCCTGCCTGACCTTAGAAATCAATTATTTGCACGCTGAAAATTTAGGATTGAATCACATGTTCACCAGGCTTTAGCCAGACAAATTATTGTTTTTAGTATGCATAAATTTCTTACCCGCAAAATTTTATGATTTGAATAGGCAAAGGGGGTTCTAGCAATAAAATCGACAACTCGCGTTGGTTAAAATCGTTTCCGTTGTGAATAGGCTGACAGTCCTTCGGGGTTATCTAGTTATATCGTGGCCTGTTCCTTTTTTGTTTTGAAGTTTAAAAATTCCTTGGCGTTAGGCTATTACCAAAATAAGATTAATAATAAATAGTTTGTAACGTGATTTCAGTAAAAATAAATCACGTGTTATTAACAGTCTTCAGGTCATTTTCATAGATTCATTTGACAATACACGTTTAGATTGATTTAACTATATTAACTTGGCAAGATCAATGCTGTACATGCACTTAAATTTGTATAAAAATATATAATATTACAATGAATGGGCGATACGAAGTACATCGATAGCTAATACAAGTAATAACATAATACAATGGTAGATATTTGATTAAAAGTTTAAAGATAGATATTAAAAGTATAATAATATGTACAACTAAAAAAGGATTATTATTTAAATAAAAATTATAAGAGGATGAATAAGAATAGTGAATGTTTTAGGTTATGCAAAAGAGATTTTTTTTATGTATATGTGGATGAAAAAGGGAAGAAATGAAATATATGTATTTATTTGATGTTAATAGTAATGAAGGTGTCGCTCACAATTTGATATTGTTCTTTCTCTTAACTTCTATAATAAGAATCTCCTTTGAAATTTAGTCATCGAACGAAGTCATTCTCGAGAAACCCATGATAGCATCTTCGCCTAATTAAATCTCTTTCGGACTTCGAATAGAAAATATCTCCTTACGCAAGTAAAACCATTATAAATCCATCACGACCAACTTTCGAACAAGAAGAGAAATTTTAATTTTCCATTGGTATGCTCGGCAAAATATCCGAGAAATTCAAAGAACTTCTTACGGTAGCCGCGGCACGATCTACCAATAAATTTCTTCCCACAAGAATTTCCCGTATAATAAGCACATGGTGACTCGATCGCTCAAATGTAACCTTAATCTGTATCTCATTCTTGACCGTGATATACTTTGTTTGGCAGGTGGGAGGAACATTGCCTGGAATCTTGACCACGACATTCGCTTCAAATATCGTGTCTGGACCCATCGGCGTCATCATGATATCCTTTCCGTAGATTTCATGTTTCGAGTATCGTGTGTCGGAATTCGCCGGACTCACTGCACGATCATCCACCTTGTAGTTTACGTAAGTTTTTAGATATGCACTGATTTTCTTGATTCGAAGTGTTGGATTGTGCGCTGTAAGTCGTAGTTTGATCAACATGTCTTTATTGACATCAAAGAATGTTTGTGGGAGAATAGCCTGCCATGATAATGGAACTTTACGTGGTCTTGCATGTGATTTGATCAACAGCGGTTTCAAATCTTCTTCATCTGGAATAGTCCATCGCAAGATTGGCACAGCTACTTCACACCAGGTTTTCTTCTTCTTTGGTTTACGATTAACAGTCGCACGCAACGTGTACATCACATCGCCAAAATCCGCGCTAAAAGACTCGTAAGCATTATTCGGAACATCAAACTCAAATGGTAAATCCAAATCCGTAATCAACTCGTGTCCGACCTCCGTTTTCGACTGCCACAGATAAATACTCTTGTCAATGATGATTTTTTCCGCGCGTACCTTTTTCAGGTCCACCCATTCAACCGCCTCCCGACCCACAAATTTTAGTATGATGTTTTTCGCCTCAACAGCTTCTGGGAATCGAACGTGAAGTGTTCCGGATATGGTGGTGGGACTTACTCCAAGGTACCCAGATTGGAAGGTGGTGTGTTCCGGGTGGTATGAAAAGAACATGCGTGGGTCGTCTTTTATGTAATCGCTCGGTGGTGGGGTTGATGCGAAATACGCCATCTCTTTATTATTATTATTATTGAAGGGAAGGCGAAGTGACGGCAATGCTAAAAATTTTTTTTCTATCAAAAAATAAATAAATAAAAATTCTAATTTATTTAATAAATATTTTCTATTAAACCCAATCTTCTATAAAGTCAGACTCTAAATAAAAAGATGGTATCAAGAAATTGATATCGAGAAGTGATATCAAAAGCGAAAAACACAAAAATGGGAAGAATGGAAAACTAAATGAGAAAACAACCAACTTATATGATCAAAGTTTGTTCACTAACACAAGTAAAGGAAGCAAGCGATTGTACATCATTGTCGTCATCGCCATCACATCCCACAAGGAAAGGAATAATTGGGAAATTAGTTAGGGGGGTAGTCATGAACAATGAACATCTGCTTGAAAATGTGATTTCTATGCATGGAGATTCGTGACGTCAAAGTGATGCTTAATCTTGGGTTCAAGTTTTTCTTTTTTCGGGTTAGCTTTTGGACAGGTTAGATTATCGGATATGGCTATCTTGGATTTTCTCGGTGAATCTAGCACATATCGAATCGCGTGAGCTTTTTTATTTTTTCCTTTTTTTAATATTAGAAAATGTCACCAGAGGTGATAGTTTTCCTTTTAAGTAGTCATCGATGGGTTAAAGGTGTAACATGTTCAGCGTATCACAAATTGTTACACCGTTGCATCTTAGTCCAACATTAAAAATTACCCTCTGGGCATTTTTAGTAAACGAGAATAAATCAAAATTAAATGGGAAGGAACGAAGAGATAAGAGGCTTTGCTATCTTACGGAACAGGCTTAAAAAGAATCAATATGGAAAACACTATTATCATATATATATGAATTATGTATGGATGGCTTTAAATAACTCTCATACACACAGCCACACGGTCCACGCACACCACACCATAGCGCGAATGAGAAGCAGAAAATTATCCAAAGAAGTTCTGTGATATTGGTTGTGTGTCTGATATGTTTGTGTGTTGGTACGTGTTTGTATTTGAAAGATATTTGGTTTAAGAAGAGCAAAAAAAAAAATTTATGTCAAAAAACCTTGAATTCGAAAACGAAGCAAGATACGAGTGATTGAAGCTTTGTTGTTTTTTTTATGTTTATTTATTTATCTTATTTATTTGTTATTTTATTTATAATTGAATCATTTACTTAAAGTAAAAAAAAAGATTGTTGATATTCTTTGATCGTATTCTTCTTCTTTTCTGATCCGATCTTGTATTGTTGATACATCAAGCAATTAATCGAATTGTCCTCCGCGCATTATTCAGCACGATATACCACACAAACAAAAAAACTTTAATATTATAATGAATTAATGACTAGTGGCGAAGTAGAATCAGCGGTAAGTAATTATACCAGACATAAATGCTTCTAATCGAGGGTTTATTTCTAATATACGAATTATTAAACGTCCAAAAGAAATATTCTTAATGTTAAAAAATCAATGATAAAAATAAATAATTAATAATTCTGCATGTTTCAACAACAATCTGACGCGTCTTTTACGGCAACAGCAACAACATCATCATCATCGAGAATAGCAAGCACCCGAAAACGACACATCACAAAGAGCAACGACAACAACCACCACGAGAATAATATCTCTAGTGATTTTATAGAGAGTAACCTCAGCTTACAAGAAAATCAGAAAACCAAAAAATCCCGAGTCTACTTTACTAACACTAACATACTTAGAAAGAAACAAGAAGATCTAATCCTCGGAATATTTAATTGTTGCGAGTATTTTAATAAATGCTTCTTCACTCGAGGAGGAGAAGCAGCAGAAGGAGCCGTAGCAGTTGTAGACGAAGAGAATGGAAAGTCGGGGAAATTGAGACAGAAACAAGATCAACCAGAAACAAGAACGACAACAATTCTAAGAGACAAAAACCAACACTGTTTCTCTTCCTCAGTCTCACATCACTCTACTTTATCCTCTCGACGCTCGCATCATCATCATCAATCATCATCACCGGAGTACACGCAAACAGCCAACGATGTAAAGTGGACAACGATTGTCAGTATCAAAACCAAGGTCAAAGGTGCATGAATCACACTTGTTTGTATATTTGTCAATCGGATGATAATTGTCCGTTAAGTGGTGTCTGTAAAACGAACGTTTGTAATTGGAATGGTTCAAAGGTCCCTATTCTGCCATCAAAAATAAACAATGGGACGACAGGAACTAATAGCACCAGTTCTGTGGCGGTTGGCGATGTGGTCTTGGATAGAACATCCGTACAAGGTGATAATACCACATCGACCAATACCTCATCATCTATTACTCCGACATTATCAGTTAACAACACCAAAGACAATGATGACAATGGTGGCGACAAGAAATTCTTTTCCAATGAATTAACAAAATCCATAGCAGTAATAATGCTTGGTGTGCTAATAGTCGGGTTAGCTATAACCGCGCTCTGTTGTGTTAGACGTGTTAGTACAAAAAAATACGGTGAAAAAAGCGGACAAGACTACAACGACGACAACACCTATCATAATAGAAATATAGTGACACCTGATGTGATGACTAACATACACGATGAAAACGATAGCCCATATCAATTCATAGAACAACATAAACATCGACAACAGTCATCATTACACCAAAAACAACCACATCCTCATATGCGCGAATCGTCGTTCGAAGAAGCGCATTTACATGCTACCGGTGGTGATTTGGATTCGGAAGAGATCTCTCCCTTGCCTCTTCAACCTCAGTTGACGTTCACGGAACAGACGTTATATGGATCTCACGGTGCTTCCACGTCTTCGGTTGACTTGAAATCTACCTCACAGTATCCGTATTTGTCGCAACATCATTTCATGTCTTCTGAATAATAATATTACTTTTTATTTATCTTTTATTGATATGGATATCTGATAATTTGTCTTTTTGTAAATTTTATCTAATGTTTAATTGAATTGAGAAAAGTTGATTAGGAACAATAGGATGAAATCTTTTTTCTTTATTATGTTATGTAAATAAAATGTTAAAATATTATTTGGCAATCTGTGAATTACATGTCTCCATGAATGGATGCTATCATAATTCTAACACGTAGATAAATTTTCATAAAATATTTATAAATAAACACTTAATAGGTTTTAGCATACCAATGACAACATGGCCGAGTGGTTAAGGCGTCAGACTTGAAATCTGATTCCCTATGGGAGCGCAGGTTCAAACCCTGCTGTTGTCGATCTTTGTGTGAAAAATTTATACACGTTCTTTAATTAAGAACCTTAAATTTTTTCGTTTATCATTCAGTGCGAGATATATACGTACATGGCTGATAATTTTTATATGAACGAATTTATCATTATTATATCTACTTCCTTAGTGGCAAACATTAATTCAAAAATATAAATATGAAACAATATTTTTCAGTTCAATACTAAAAAAAAGAACTAACAACAAAACGAAAAAAACCATCATGTCTTTGGACTTTTCACAAAAAATTTCGAAATCATTTATTATTTTTTTAATGGTGGCAACCGTCTCTTTTACCAAACATGTATTCTCATCCACAACCAATACTGGCGTAGAACCACCATGCAGTAGTAATAACGATAACGATGATGATTTTTGGGGAAGTGGACGCGATTTGAGGGATAAACGATGTCATTGGTAGAAAAATGGCACAAAAAACTTGTCTTTCGACAGTAGTAGTTGTAATGGAATTAATTGTTATTTCATAACATTTCGATTTCTATACAACGTAACATTATCGCCATCACATTTATTTTAATAAAATTACAAATATAAATATAATACAATGTTTCAGTTGAGAGTAAAAATTATGGCAATAATAAGCATCGTAAACGCCAAGCTAACCATAGCATTATTGTTTAGATTTTTAGCGACAGCCGAAGAATTTGTTGGCGTAGGAATTTTCGAAGGGGTCGTCGTAGTGGAAACTTTATTCGTCGAGGTTGGAGAACTAGATGCCGCATGAGTTGCTGCAGAAGATGGGGTGGCACCAGCAACAGCATGAGCGTCTGGAGAACCCGGTTGTTGAGTAGCACCACCACCACCAGCGGCTTGTGGTTTTGCGGCTTGTTCAGTACTAGATTGAGGTGCACTAGGTACACCTCCAGCACCGGTAGCAGGTACACCGCCAGCTGTTTGTGGTTTTCCCGCAGGACCAGAACTACCCGGTTTACTAGCACCTCCTTTTGGACTACCGAGACTAGGCGAACTACCAGGGCCACCGCCTCCCATTTGCGGCATATCAGGCATTTGCATCGGCACTTGCGGCATTTGTGGCATTTGTGCGATTGTTCCGATCGTGAATATTGCGAGTAAAATTGTGATAATTGTAATTTGATGATTTTTCAGAAAGTGCATTTTAGAATAATGACCGAGGAGGAGAGAGGAATTTTCGTGTGTATGTGAGAGACTGCAAGTATATATTATTTTTTATTTTTTTAATACATCATCGTAATGATTTTATTTTTTTATTATAGTGATGATGGTGATGCTTTTCCTCTTTATTTTAATCATCTTTTCGTTGAGCCTATAATTATTATGATTAATTATGATCATGATGATTGAACGTTCTGTTGATTTTGATGATTTTGACAGGTGTTTTGTTAGTATGGGGTTTTTCGTGCGCCTGGGTTAAAGTGGAAATCTATTATTTTAATCATTGTTTAGTATTTAGATAATATTAAATAATTACGATAGCAATTATGTTGTTTTTATCATTCGACATGGGTTATAGTGATAAAATAAAACTAAATTAAATTTTTAATCTCCTCATGGTTTCACTTCAATATCTTTTAGTCTAATCCAAATAAGTTTCGAGAAAGATATAACAAAGTCAATTTTTTATTGAATTCTTGGAGACATGTATTACGCTCAATACTTTATAGTTCTCGATGATTTTGCGAAACGAGGAAAATTTCTCGTTTCACAGCAAAAAATTCGAACACGTATCCCAATTCCTGCATCTTTTATATTATTTCACAAACCAATTGATCAGTGTCAAACAATACCACTGTGGGAAATATGTATTGCGAGTTGTTTGTACCATGTATACGATGCAAACAAACAACGTTAAAACAGTTTAGCATTGCCAAGAAAATCGCTTGCGGCGCCTGTCAATCTGGAATTTAAGCCTAATTTTTTCCAGCATTTTTTTCCATATGCGGATGTTTAAGGTTACTCATCGCGCGGGGGTTTCTCGCGGGTCCCGTTCAAAGTAGCCACATCACGCACGCACCGTTCCGTGCCGTGGCATAAAATAATGGTAGGTACCGATTATACCGTTTTCGTCATCGTACAGGTAGATAAACATTCATTATTTTTTTTAATGGAGAATAATTTCAAGAAAGAACGCCATTGAGAAATAAGTTAAAATCACAAAAAGAGATAAAACCTGTCCTGCATGTATGTGTCATTTGATGATTGGTTTGCTTTCTCTCTTAATATTGTGTTTCACTTTCATCATTGAACGATATAAGATAGAATAAGATCAGAATGAGTAATATAGCGCTCTTTTCCTGTTATATCCTGTTATGTCAATCTTAATAAAATCATTGAATTCAGTATCATTTTTGTATGACGATAAATGATAAAACAAACAAAATAAACTTAAAGCACAGTTTATTATTATTATTATTATTGTGCGTCTGTACGTGTATAACCGACGGAAAAGTATAAAACGGAGTACCGATAACTAGACATTTTTTTTCAAGGAATAAAAATCTCTTTAATTATAAAAACCTAGCATCCTTTACATTAATAAATAATCGTCGTTTAGTGGTATTTATTAGTTAACGCCCATTACTATTTAAAATCGCGTAAAGTGAGAGCCGTTCGCGTATAGAATCGATCCAATTAACCATTTAAATACTCATAAATTCACAATGGAAGCTTTGTTACCCTCTCCAAAAACAGCAGCAGTAGCAACAACAACAATTGATCCGAAATCAACCGATCCGCAAGCGATATCACAACAAAAAGAAACACATCTTCGAAATAAAAGTCGCAAGGGTTCGATATCAATTGTATCAAAAGAGTCAAAGTCTTCGTTTCCTTATTCTATCAATAAAAACACAATTACACAAGAGAAGAAACAACGGCAACAGCAACAGCGAAACGAAAACCTACCAAAAAGCCCAATACAAATTCATTCGAAAATATCGAATTCGGATAAAGAAAAAGAACGCATAACAGATACAAAACAAGAATTAAATCATTTGACTGATAGTAAAAAAAGTTCTAAAGACGATGACAACACTGTGAATTCTAACTCACCATCGGAAAATGTTGGTGTGGACTCCACTTCTACTCCTAATACTATTATTGAGAATGATGTTTCGAAACCAGAACAACCATCACAATTGCTTACTCCTCCGGAAGTAACTGATGATTATATACATGTACATGTTGATATGGATTTTTAATCATTATGTTATTGTAAAAAAAATTGTACACTAATACTATACACAGTTAGACCTGCTGTTATGTTTGATCTCTACATACAACATCACGTTCCTTGTATGCAATTGCCAATAAACTAAAATTAATTTCTTGATGAGTTTTACATAAAAAAAATGTAATTTACCATTGACCCAATCAATATCGAAACTTTCGCTATGTCTTACACCACAAGTGTGTCGACTACGTGTATTTTCATTCTTACTTATCGTCGTCGTCAACGATCTCAGCGAATTTGATTTGTCGATAGGCACGTGAAAAGTCGTTGCCACACCGACGCGTATCAATGAGAGAGATTGTGAGAATGCATTTTCAGTTGTGTGGTAAACAGATTATCCTATTTTGAGTTTATGTCCTCTCTGCCTCATATCTGGTATATTTTGCTTGTATACCATTAATTAGCATCCCTTCTTTTTTTTTTTTTACTTCAAGATTCAAGCGTATATTCAATGTTTATTTATTTATCGTACAATTAGACCTGGTGTACCAACGTATTGTAAATATCCCTTGTCTTGTTTAAGTGAATAAACATTATTTCGTTGGATCGAATCGACATCAGGTATTAATCACATGACATGACCGTTTTTTTGCGTGTCTAGAATAAAAGGAATGTGACAACACGTTAGTAAGTCTTTATTTCAAAAATCCGCAGAATCTGGGTTCTCAAAGAGGTCAATGCAGTCTCTACCATAAAAATATCTAAATTACTTAGTTGAAAAGTCGTGGTGTTGTATGTGCGATTAAAATTAACAATATTAGAATAAAACCAAAACATATATAATATATTGATATTGATAAAATAGGTCTCTGGGAAAGAGACCAGCACAACTTGGCGCTAGATTATTCTAGCGGACGTTAATGACAGCCTCTTCCAAGCATCAACCACATGTAAAAAGGCCATATGCGCTGTAGTATAGTATCGACCATATGGAAAGAAGGCCATATGCACCGTTAGCATAGCATCGACCACATGGAAAAAGACCATATGCGTCTTAGGATATTGTGTATACCAAGGTAATATTACTTAGCTGAAAGAAAACCTATACGTAATGTCATGTGATGATATCCGATTAAGACAGCGCGTATATCTAAATATATAAAACAAAATGAATTAACAATAAAAGAACAAAACATATAGTATTGATAAAATAGGTCTCTGGAAAAAAGACCAGCAACTGGGCGCTAGGCCATATGTAGGAACTTATTAAATCCGATATACAATATACTGGAAAGAGACCAGCACATTTGGCGCTAGATTATTCTAGCAAACGTTAGCGATAGCCTCTCCCAAGCATCGACCATATGGAAAAAGCCCTATGCGCTGTAGGATATTGTGTATTCCAAGGTAATATCATAAAAATATCCAAATTACGTAGCTGAAAGAAAGAAAAGAAATATATAAAGAAAAAATAGTCGCGAAGTTATGTATATATATACAATCAAAATCACGTGATCAATGTGGTTAATATCCATTATAAATAATTTAATCGACTTTAAATTTAGACGACATTAAATAGAAATTAAGCTATAATTCAGGCTTAAATCATGTGATCCAAAGTTTTCTTAAAATAAATATTAATTAATATCTATAATTTCAAATAAATATGCGATTATAATATGACTATATACTAAAATTGATTAATCGAATTGCAAGATCTAAAATTTTAAATCAAATAAAAATAAACTTATTTTTAAGCATAATGAAAATTTCTATTTATTTATATATATGATCCATTGCAAAAAGATTGATATATCAATATAAAAATTAATAATTACTTTTAATAAAATCATTCAAATTTTAACTAATTTTTATAACTTTTTTATATTAAATAAAAATGATCTAAATTAACTTTTTACATTATTATATATATTTTAATTTAATAACAAATAAAGTATTACTTTACTAAAAAAACTAAAATAAAATTAAAATTTTTTAAAAAATAAAGATATTTTAAATATTATTACTATTAATTTATAATATTAAAACTTTAAATTATGCAGGCAGATTTAATAAATATATGTCTAAATTTCATAAAATTAAATTAGTAATTATAAAAGTATTAAGATTCAAAGTTTAGTTATTAAATTATTTACTATATAATTTTTATATTAATTTTAATCAAATATAAAATTTAAGAAATAATAATTCAAAAAGTTTATTATTAGTAGATTTTTTTATAAAAGATATATAATAAAAATTTTTATATTTAAATAAATTCTAATATCTAATAACTTAATTAAATAAA